GTCTTATTTTTTAATAGAAAGGAGAAACCATTATCACCATGTGACTGTTTTGATATTGAGTTATGTTTTCATCCTCCAATAAGTACTCCTGTAAACATTTTTGATACACACACACACACTTACACATACCTACACACATACATACACATAGTTGGTTTTTCCAGGCAGGGTTTCTCTGTGTAGCACCGACTGTCCTGGAACTCATTTTGTAGACCAGGCTGGCCTTGAACTCACTGACATCTGCCTGCTTCTGCCTCCCAAGTGCAGGAATTAAAGGCATGCACCTCGGCCATCCATCCATTTTTGATATTTATAAGACCTAATCTTAGGGCTTGAGCTGTGATTCAGTGGTTAAGAGCATTTGTTGTACTTGTAGAGGGCCTGGGTTTGATTATCAGTAATCTACATGGTGGTTGATAAACATCTGAAATTCTAGTCCTAGGGGATCCAATGCCCTTGTCCAGCTTCCACAGTTACCCAGCACACACATGGTGCACATACATACATACAGGCAAAATGCTCACACGAAAATTAACATGAATAAATCCGATAAAAAGTTTTAAAAAAAAAATCCAACCTGTGGGAATGCTGGTGCCTCCCCCGCCCCAGTAGCATGCTGATTTTGAATGTTTCTGATTGACAGTTGCTGTAGATACATGGGGAAAATTTCCCAAAGCCATAGGGAATTGTCTTCCTGTCCCTGTAAGCTCCCCTCAGTGTACTGTTATCCTGATGGACCATTTCCCCAGAGGCCAAGTCACAGATGCCCCCTGCTGGTGAGATCTGGCTCTAGCGTATAGTCAGGAGTGTTTTCTGGTGCATGTATTCACGTGACAAAAGGATCACTTGTTTTTTTATCTTTGTAATATCCTCTCTTTTGGTGGTCCTAATCATAAGTATTAATTTCAAAGTTCAGACACCCACCACTCTCACTGTAGCTTTGAACTGTGGTCCACAGATGGTGATGAGAACGCTGTGGGGCCTGATAAACTCGCGTGTTTATCTTCTCTCCTGGGTGGCACGTTTCTGGTCACAGACACTCTAGCGATCCCTTTAAGACCGCAGGAAGTGAAGGCCTAGCTGTGGAGCGGGTTTGCTGAAGCCGTCCTTTCCTGCACCGGGGCCTGTGGCTTGGAAGTAACGGCTTCTTTGGCCGGCTTCTCGTGGCCTCCGAGTGAGGTCCCGCGGGCTCTGCTCAGTGACCCCAGGGCTTGGGTGGTGACAGCGAGCGGAACCTTCACAATTCCACACTCGCTCTTTATCACTTGGCAGATGGCACCAGAGGCGTAAGGTTGTTTTATTTGTCGTGTTTTCAGGGGGATTTTACTCCTGAAAGCTTTCATGGTGCATAGAATGCATCAGTTATGATTGTCCTGGGGGGGCGGGGCTTGCAGTTTGCTTTGTCGTCTTTTCACTTTTGGAAGACTTTTAAGTGAAGCCGGATAATCCTACCAATTACATAAAAAAGCATGAAGGATTGAGTGTGTCTGTTTTTATCTTTGTTTGGAAACCTTAGAAAAGTTAAACTTTCAGCCTAAATTTGTGAGATAAGATTTCGGGATGAAGTCTAGTTATCAAATGCGAAACAAGCAAAAGCAGCCCTGCAAAGATCTGACACCTCGTTTTCTCTATAAAAATAGGGCTTCATGGCCTATGGTTGTGGCCGGTAAATTATTTTGTTATTTGTTTTTATGATATTTAGTTATGTGTATGTGTGTGTCCGTGTGGGTGTATGCCACATGTGTGTGGTGCCACAGAGGCAGATTGCTTATGATGGAGATAATAAAAATCTCTAAACCATATGAATAAGTTTGGCAAAGGTTAAGTGAATTGCAGCCATGAACCACTTGCGGTAGTTTCTAGGGCAAACCATCAAAGAAGCTTGCTGCTATTGCTGGGCCAGCGGCTTCTGTCAGTGCTTACCAAGGCTCGAGTCATGGCTCTCCGTTGTGGCGATACTGCACTCTGACCAAGTAATGTTTTACAATCCTAATACAAGCAAATAAAATGCATGTGTATGTGTTTGTGTATGAGAGAGGGAGAGGAAGGAAGGAAGGGAGGGAGGGAGAGAAAGAGAGAGATAGAATAAATGTATATCATATATTATGATGGAACTCCTGGCTGGTATGTGTGTATGTATGTATTTTTAATTCTGTGTATGTGTGTGTGTATATGTGCGTGTGTATGTATGTATGAGAAAGAGGAAGAGGGAGGGAAAAAGGGAGGGAGGGAAAGAGAATAAATGTTTATCATATATTATGATTGAACTCCTGGCTGGTATGTGTGTATGTATTTTGAATTCTCTCTCTCTCTCTCTCTCTCTCTCTCTCTCTCTCTCTCTCTCTCCCTATTTTTTTCCATGGAGGTTTGCAGAACAGGTTCTGGCTATGAATTCCAGACTGAGTTGAAACTAATGAGCCTCCACTTCAGTGCTGAGGTCATAGGTATGTGCCACCATGCATGGTTAAGAGCACCGTTGTCACCATGGGGAAAGCACACCCTGCCTTGGCATAACATTGTGAGGACTAGACAACCTGTCACCTACCTCTAGATTGCCTGGGTAAAACAATGGTTTTGTATCACCCACTATTTCTCTTGTATATAAATCTCAACTCTCCCCCACCCCGAGACTTGTATTCATGCCCCAACTACTCAGCTCCTGTCTGGACTTTGCAGTGTCTATGGAGCACAGTCCTCTCTTCTGGGGATGCTTGCTAAGCCTCGTTGGTCAGGGAGAGGGAGGTTTCTCGTCATTTGTGTCTACCATTGCCCAGAGCATGGGCTTCGAGAATCGATAGAGGTTATGGAAACAGCAACTTCCCTCCTATGGATTCACCACCCACCATCTCCTTTTTCCTTTTGAGATATAAGATTAAGTTAGAATTATTGATCTGTTTTTATTCCTGTGGGTTCTAGGTCAGATGTCTTTTGACTGGAAATTGGAGTTGACCTTTAGTTATGTTGGGGGATTCTGGTATATTATTTTGTGGGTGGGGTGTGTTTTTCTTGCATACATTTCGGAACCATGTTTGTGTAGTACCCAAAGAGGCCAGAAGATGGCATCAGATCCTCTAGGAACTGGAATTACAGACTGTGGAGTGCTAGGAATCAAATCCAGGTCCTCTGGAAGAGCAGCCGGTGCTCTCAGTGCTGAGCCATCTCTCCAGCCCCCTCTTGGTTGGTCTAACTTGGACTACATAATAGCGTTGTGCCCACTGCTGCCACTGCTTGTTGCGAGTTTTGAATGATGGCTGAATAGCATCATTATTATCTAATAACATCCTCTGGGAATCAGTTTCCTCATCATCCATTCTGAGATTCATCTGTGTCCATGTGTAGAACTACTTCCCTGTCATGCTGTGAACCATGCCATTGCTTGAGGGACATCATATTTTTTTCTTTCTTTTTTTGGTTTTTCCATACAGGGTTTATCTATGTAGCTTTGGAGCCTGTCCTGGGACTCACCCTGTAGACCAGGCTGACCTTGAACTCACAGAGATCTGTCTGCCTCAGCCTCCTGAGTGCTGGGACCAAAGGTGTGTGCCACCACTGCCCGGCCTGGGACATCATAACTTATACTTTTACTTAATTGTTCCAAAACATGTTGATGGTTTCAGAGTTCACACTTAGCCAACCTTGAGTCAGTTTGTCATGCCGTCTCTAAATATTTGGGAAATAAGGTAGGAGGTAGGAGCCTGCAGGCTGCCCTCGTCCCTGTCTTTCAGATATGACCCCTCTTCATATTGGACCAGTGCAGAGGACATTGTTGGCCATGTCACCTGCTGTTCTAGGGTGGGCAAGACTACAGAAGGTCTGTCGTCTTTGGCGGGGCCACACTGCAGGAGGTGTGTGGTGTTGAGAGAGCAGCTGGCCAGCTGTGTAGAATACTGACTAAGGAAAATAGAAAACCATGGCTTTTGGAGTAACTGAGCAGGGATGAGCTCAATATTTTACAAGGTACAAAGGTGCTTAAGACTGGACCCAGAAATGTGAACACTAAAGAGACTCGAAGTATAGTAGGCAGATAAAAGAAGCAGTAAACAACAGGGTGCATCAAGACAACACCTCAAAATAAGTCACGTGCTGGGATATGGCCTGTTGGACTCATTATCTTTTAAAACTCAATATTTCTTTTACTCTATTTTTACTTTCTGAGACAGGGTTTCTCTGTGTAGCCTTGGCTGTCCTGGAACTCACTTTGTAGACCTGGCTGGCCTCGAACTCACTGAGATCCACCTGCCTCTGCCTCCCGAGTGCTGGGATTAAAGGCATGTGCCATCACACCTGGCAAAACTACATCTCTAGTGGCCAAATTTTAGTTTTACCATGCACTTTCATCGTACCTTCTGGTAAAGCTTTTGTTTCTACTTTACCCCAGCCCATGACCGAGTGTCTTCTCCTGGTAGTGTCGCTTGTGATAGTAACAGAGTTTCTTCAGTGTCTGGTGGGACATGGAGTGAGAGCTCATTCCTGCTGACTGTGAACATGGGGTTCTGGGAACGTTTGTTCCACATCCTGTTGGTTATTTGTTTCCTCTGTCTGGCAGGGACAGCTCATCTTTTTTACCTGGGTTATGACTAGCCTGTTCTTGTTTTAAATAGAGATAATCATACAGAATAGATGTCAAGCCCTTGTTGTCTATTATAAATAAATGTTCAAAGCAGATATAGCATCTCGTGGCTTTATCTGTGAATCAGTTTTCTGATAGTACCATTCTGAGTTTCATTCATTCTAAAGAGTCAGCTAATTGCTGTGCCAGAGTAACCTGCTTTCTCAAAGGGCCCTGCTGAAGTCCAGCATCAGTGCCCAGTGTGGTCCTCTCCAGGAGTGTCAGGGAACCCACTGCCTGCTGAATTCTGTAGCCCTTTGGCTTCTCAGGTGTCACCTTTATTTGAGTGTTCAGTGCGTGAGAAACTTTTAGGTCAGCAGGCATCTGTGACCCACGGACTCTCTTTTCCTTCTGGAAATGGGGCCCTGAAATCCCATATTTATCTTTTCAGAAATCGTGCCATCCTTAAAGCCGCACCCTCCTGTTGTGGGCAAAGTGACTCATCACAGCATCGAACTGTACTGGGATCTGGAAAGGAAAGAGAAACGGCAAGGACCTCAGGAGCAGTGGCTTAGGTTCTCCATCGAAGAGGAAGACCCCAAGATGCACAATTATGGTGTCATTTACACGTAGGTGCAGACACGACTGCTCGCATTGCGGCTTGCTTTCCTCCCGGTAAAATGGTTACCCAGTGGCTAAGAAGCCACCGGCTCCTCTGAAGTCAAAGAATGGAGACGGGGAACTTTTGGTAAATGGGCATTAGTGGGGAACTTAGGAATGAACTCTGAGAGCTTCTTTGACTCCTGGAGTATGCTAATGTATATCACCTGTGTCTAAAATGTAGCGACAGGAAAAAAAAATACTTGGATGTTGTAGCAGTGGTTCCCGTCAGGTTTTGTTAATGGATGCAAGCTGAAGCACTTCTGGTCCATGCCAGCCGACTGTTCTAATCTCTTGTGACACTGTTGTTCCCTTTCCAACTCTCTCCACCTAAAATAGCCTCCATTTCAGCCTCGAGGAAGGGAGGCTTGTCCCCATATCAGGACCTTTCTCGTTACAGTTTCCCTGGCATTTTCTTCTGTCTTAATCTGGCTGGGTCCTTCCCAGAATATGAATCTGAGATGAAGCTCCTCCTCCATTCTTCCTCCTCTCTCTAAGGGCCACAGACCTCGCCAGCCCACCTGCCCTGCCAGCCGCCTTACTGCAAATCCTCATCCAGGCATCTTGGAAGCCAGCACTGCGCTGGGGATTTCCCACAGGCGGCTTGTTCTTTTCTGCCTCCCACCCCCATTTAGGTACAATGGGAGATGGGTGAGATTTCTTCCTCGTGCAGCACTCTGTCCCAGCTCCTAGACCACTGCTGGCTGGTTCAGGCCCCCACAGAGCTGTGGCTTTCCTGCAAACAAGTGCTTTGGAAACGAATCCTAGAGTTGCTTTTCCGTCACCTTTTCCTTAACTTCCTCTGGCTGCTTAGCCCGTTGCAAAATAAAGTCACTTTTTTTTTTTCTGTGACTTAGGAATACCAGAAAGAGATGCAAGTGTGAGTCTTACTTAGCCTTTATAGTAGGTACGTGGTTTAACACAGAAGAGCCTGTGGCCCCCTCCCACCTTTCCCTGGTGCCCTAGGGCACACAGTGCTGCAGTGAGTCACAGGGTGGCAATGGTGCAGTCAGGATCCGACATGTTCAGTGGGCTGCCCGTCTGCCCTTTCCTCCAGGGGCATTGTGCCCCAGTGCTCATGTGGGGGATGGGGATGATGCCCTTTTCTGATCTTATGCCATACCCCTGCCCCCTCCTCTCCTCTTCTAGTGTCACTGTCCCTCCACTCCACTCTATAGTTATTACCTAAGAGGTAATAGCCTGATGGCTGAGAAGCATTTTTCTGTGTCCAAGCAAAAAACAGTATTATCTGAAATACAGTTGCCATATGAAAATTGTTGAAATAAGGGCGGCGGGGTTGCGTCCCCAACACCCCGGCCGCTTGGCTAGCTCACGCCCGAAATAACAACACACAAACTGTGTTCATTTAAGAACTGCTTGGCCCCTGAACTCTAGCCCTTACAGGCTAATTCTCGCACCTGGACTAGCCCATTTCTAATGATGTGTGTAAGCACCCCAAGGTGCGCTTACCGGGAAGATTCCAGCCTCCGTCCATGATGTCTCTGCTCCAGAGCGCAGAGTTGTCTGGTCTCTCTGGGAGCAGAGCAGAGTCTGACCTCACTTCCTCTTCCGCCCAGCATCCTATTCTGTTTATTCCGCCCACCTATCTTTTAACCTATCAGGGCCAGCAGTTTCTTTATTGCTCAGCCAATGAAATCAACAGATTGATATGACACTCCCACATCAGAAAATCATTTTGGAGCCTGGACCCCTGTTCAGTTAGGCTTCTACTGCAATAAACACTGTGGCCATAAGCAACTTGATGAGGAAAGGGTTTATTGTAGCTCATTTATTCATTTATTTATTTATTTATTTATTTATTTATTTATTTATTTATTTCCACACATTGAGGGAAGTCAGAGCAGAACTTGGAGGCAGGAGCTGATGCAGAGGTCATGGAGGATGCTGCTGACTGGCTTCCTCCCCAGGATTTGCCTTGTTTGTTTTCTTAACTCCCAGGACCACCTTCCCAGCACTGGCACAATGGACCGTGCTCTCCTGTATCAATCATTAATCAAGAAAAGCCCCCATGGTTTTGTCCATCGGCCAAGCTGGTGGGGACTTTTTCTCAAACTAGGTACCCTCTTTCCAAATGACTTCAGCTTATGTCATATTGACCAAAAAAAAAAAAAAAAAAAAAATCAAATCTATCACAATCCCCAAGAAGTTCCCTAATCATGTCACACGTTGTACTATGAAAATGATTTCCTTCTAAAAGCATACATATGTAATATAAAATGTATTGTGCGTTTGTACACATACATGTGTGTGTATGTGTGTGTATGTGGTGCATGCATGCACATGCAATTATATGTACTCACGGAGGTCAGATGAATATGTCTGCTCTTTATTCTCTGCCCCTATTCCATTGAGGCAAGTTCTTTTATGGAACCTAGCTTGCCCTCCCCCTGCTCCCATGGCCTCCTGCTAGGCTGGTTGGCCAGCAAGCCCCAATGATCTCATCCTCCTGTCTCTTCCCACCCCAGTGCTGGGGTTCCAGGCCTTTTTTGTTTGTTTGTTTTGAGATAGGGTTTCTCCGTGTAACAGTCCTGGCTGTCCTGGAACTCACTTTATAGACCAGGCTGGCTTTGAACTTAATGAGTTCCACCTGCCTCTGCATCCCAAGTGCTGGGATTAAAGGCATGTGTCAACACTGTCTGGCTTGCCAGCTTTTAAATGAAGGTACTAGGATCAGAACTTGGGTCCTAATGCTTTTATGACAAGTGCTTTTATTTTTATATATAAAAAAACCCTATTGAGCCATCTTCCTCAGTCTCAATTCTATTTTAAGTATTTTTATGGAGGAAGAGAAAGATAGAGTCCTCTATTTGTTCATTCAACTTGTGCTTGGCCAAAGCTGTTCTGGTTATATTCCTTTGCTACCTGTTGACCTGCTGCTTCCTTACTCCTTCCTTCCCTCTCTCCCTCTTTCTTTCGCCAAGTGCCCAGGCTTTGTTTAGAGGCAGCAGCCACGTACACCAGTCTAACCCCATGCGGTGTCTGTACAATTCACCTTGGCCCTGGAAACATGTCTTGGTGAAAGTTTTGTCCCTTGGAAAATTGTGTACCTGTGTCTGAGCACTAGGTGGCAGGCTTGGACTGCAGGAGTCCCAACCTCATTTGCCAACTCACGGCTCCGGCTCCAGTTATGAAGACCAGCGAATGCCTTGCTCACGAGAATGGTCATGTAGTGCACATGGGGCTGGTGGACTTGGCCATTTCCTCTTGCCTGGGCAGTTTGGCTCTGGTCCACTGCCAGGTTGTCTTGCATCACTGGAGCGGTCTTTGGCTTGGGCTTTCCTTATAGTTCTCGGAAGTACAGTTACCCAGCTTTGTGGGTTCTCCCTCTATTCTCCTTCTCAAGGCCAGGGCATTCCATTCCACTTTCTGTCTGGTTTGCAGATGTGCCCCGGGACCTGCACTGCTAAGACATCTGCCAGTGAGACGAGCCCCCTTGCTGCCTTCTCTTCTTCTACCCTGAAGGCTGGTGTTGTTTTTACTCTCCTTTTCATGTCTCAAGTGTGTCTTCTTTGCATGGAGGACGAAGCTGAGCACGATCCTTGGATGCTGACTCCCGGAGTGGTATTTAATCATGACACCTGGTCCACTGTGAAGGTAGTTTCCTTTTGAAATTGTGTGTGTGTGTGTGTGTGTGTAAGCATGCAAGTCTACACACATACACTCACACCACTTGGGTGGTAGATCTAGTGTCCTGACAAATTTTTCTTTTGTTCTGTTCTGTTTATTTGAGACAGTATTTCTCTGAGTAGCTATGGCCGTCCTGGAATTTACTCTGCAGACCAGGCTGGCTTTGAACTCAGAGATCCACCTGTCTGTTTCCCTGAGTGATGAGATTAAAGGTGTGCACCACTGCCGCCCAACCCCTGGAAGTTTTTAAGGTGTTCTGTTTTTTTTTTTTTTTTTTTTTTTTTTTTTTTTTTTTTTTTTTTTTTTTTTTTTTTTTTTTTTTTTTTTTTGAGATGAAACCTTGCAATTCTCTCTAGACTGATTCCAGGATCCTGGGCTCAAGCGATCTTTGTGTCTCAGCCTCCCAAGCAACTGGGGACATAGGTGTGTACCTGGCTCTACTAGCAAATGGCTTAAATCTACCACTAAAAGCATCTTATGTCCAACCAGTCCACATAGTGTTCTGCTATCTCCCACCTCAATTATTGCACGAGCTTCCTAATTGGCCCTGTCTGCTGTCTACAGCCTCGCCTTCCCACAGCCTCATCGCAGGCAGCCACAGCAGCCCTGGTGAACCATACAGATCATGTTTGGCCTGGCTTAACAACCTCCTTAGCTTCCCCCAACGTCTTTCCAGTAAAAACCAGTGTTCTCTGGATGAGCCACAGCCACACGGTTGCCTCTTACAGCCTTGTCAGCCTCTCCGATTCTCCCCACCCGTCCACTCCTCGCTCCTCCATGCTCCTCCATGCGCTTTCCCATCAGACACTGCTCTGAAAGTTGCCTTCAGTACCCCACACTTGTTTCAGGTCCTGACTAAGCCCTCTCCTCAGTGAAGGGTCCTTCCTCCTGTCCCAGACCCCCAGCTTATCCTATGTTTTCCTCCTCAGGACTTACTACCCCTGACACACTACTCTACATGCTTACTTATATGTCTCATTTACCATGTGGTAACATGGGGAGTTTCTATCTGACCCCAGTGTCACTAGAACAGTGTTCAGTATGCCATGGGCAGTCATTAATATAGGACAAGGGAATGGATAAAAACACGATAGGGTGCTAACTCCTTATACTGGAGAAAGTTTATGCTCAGAAATGAGAGCTAATAAGGCAGGTGTGAGCAAACTGTACACACACATGCTCTCGCGCTCTCTCTCTCTCTCTCTCTCTCTCTCTCTCTCTCTCTCTCTCTCTCTCTCTCTCTCACACACACACACACACACACACACACACCTGTACCTTAGAGGACCAACACTACCCAAACTGTAGAGAGAATGCTCACTTAGCAATGCAGTCCACTTCTTCCTAAGAATAATCTGTTCCAGTCTAGTTTTTATTTTCCATACTATTCATCCCATGTAGTATTTCAGGGCATTTATACTGCTGGGTTTAGAGATCTCACATTGTGATAAGTATATTTATATTTCTTACATGCCTGCTTTCTTATTCAAATGTTTTTAATGCCATCAGAACCATTCTTTATTATATTGCTATATAACCAACTGTGTGTCTGTCTGTCTTGCTGTATAACCAACTGTGTGTCTGTCTGTCTTCCTGCTGGCCTGTGACGGCCCTAGCTTCTGCTACACGTATGGTGCTTCTACAGGCTGGAGGTTGGCATGCAGGATGCTGCCTAGACTTTTTTTCTCTTCACTGCCTACCACTGTCTAGTGGTAAGTTTCATCTTACTGTGTGGCCCCTCGACAGCAGGGAATTAGAGCTTTTTACATGGCCAGCTCCCAGTGGTATCAGTACAGAAGCTGCAGGCTTCACAATACCCAACCTCAGCACTGCCCAGCTCCTCTCCCGCCACCTGCCCTCTCATCGCAGGGTACAGGATTAGACCTTTGTCTGTGTTTCTGCATTAATGGATGGGCTGGCCTTCCTGAATATAAACTTTCTTTTGAGTGAAGAAAAATGGCCTCCCAAATAAAAAGACACCAAAACAGGGCTGAATTTGCCTACAAAGATCAGAGCACACAGGGCCTGATATCAGATGCAAAGCACTGTTTATTTTCTTGCCTCTGTCAGATTTTGTTACCTGAAGTGACTTCATGGTACAAGTTTCTGACTTCTCCCAGAATCTGCTTTGGTTAAACCCCAAAGGAAAAGGGTTTAGTAAACTCGGAGCTGGGTGCTGTTGCTAGATCTCACGGAGGCATCTTTCCCTACATGGCCTAGACCTGACACATCCTAGCCTCACTCTGCTTGAGGCACATAAGGCCTTCGTCTTGGGGCTGGCGCCCTTTGGACCCTACATTTCATTCTGACACGTCTTGGAAGTCAGAGAGACCTGTGTCGCAGGACACCATGCAGCTTCTCTCTTCTCCCACCCCCCATTGCTCATGCAGGGGAATACCTTCAGGGGGAAGCCAGAAGGCTTCAGACACTGGGTGGGAAGGAGACAGAAGGGTGGAGGTTATTCCTCTATTCAGGGACAGGAGTGGCTCTGCTCTGTAGCTACCCCTTTCATGCCATACCTCGGAGAAGAGACTGATTTCCCAGTGGGCCCTGGGGCTGAACAAGTGAGACCTCGTGAGTGACAGGTGCACCCCATCATGCTGCCACCCCTTCTCTGGAACCATGTTTTCAGGCGAGCTTCTGTTAGCCACGATGTTGACTATAGGAGATAGGGCCTGCGGCACACTAGCTGATCCATCTCCGTCTTGAGATCATCCCGGGCTGCCTGGCCCAACACCTTGCAAGAAATGGGCCTGGGACAAGTTTGAGTTGATGGAACAGAACTTGTATGTAAATATTTATGTTGAGCACAAACATCTCGAACAGTTCGTTTGAGAATCGTAATGTATGGCTTTGGCCTTTGCAGAAGCTGCCTTGAGGATGAGAGCGCAATGAGAGGAAATGAGGGCGAGCTTGGCGGGCATGGAGTTCTGGGGATGTGCACAGAAGAGAAGGAGAGAGCAGAGCTGGAAGTAGTGGGGGCCTCATCCAAGGTCAAGCCTTTGCACCACAAGGAAAGACACACTTAGAGACAGAACTGAGAGCGGGACACTCGGGATCCACTCAAAACCCAATAAAGACCTGTGCTAGTAGACGATTTCTATGAAGAACACATGTGCATGCCATTGTGCCCCAAGCACATGTTTGTTTATTCTAGATAGCAAACCAGCGACACTAAGGAAACAATTTTATCAAAATTCAACTTGGTGAACCCGGGGGATTATTGTTTTTTTTTTTTTTTTTTTTTTTTTTTTTTTTTTTTTTTTTTTTTTTTTTTTTTGTTCTTTTTTTTTTTTTTTTTTTTTTTTTTTTCTGGGAGGATGGGTGAGAGGTTAGCTACAGAAACATGGAGGACTCAAGGGCAGCTGTGTGAAAGGTGCTGACTGACAAAAGCTGAAATTCTGAAGCTCTGAAAAACTTTAAGGCAGCTCCACAGGTCAGAGAGCTCAGGCACCTCAGGTAGTGCGAAAGTTCCTTTTCTCTTAAATCCAGGCTGGTGCGAGAATCCTTCCCCTGGCCTTCTGAATATTATTGGTTTCAGGAACTTGCTAAGACTTATGAGTTGATTGCTTCCAGAGTCTCATGAGCTTTCCCCATCTCTTCCTGGATGGAATGTTTCAATTGGGAGGGAAACTGTTGCGCAACACCTGGCTAGGTCCTGTGGGGCTGAGTGTACACGGCACAAAAGGCACAGAGGGCACCACCTGTGACATGTAGACTTCTGTCAAGGAATTCAGTAAAGCAGGGTCATATCTATACTGGAAATTGACAGCATTCAAAAGTTGCTTCCTCCTGTTGTTACCTGGTATTGGAAATGCTGCTTAAGTGACCTGGCATGCGGGCAAGGCAAAGGCTAAAAGCTAACTTTCCATGTGAAAAGATTTTCTTTGTGCAACCCACCCCCAAACAAAATCTCACCTGCACGGTCAGTGAAAGGGTGTAAATATAAGACATTCCACCCTCAGACACAGCGTCTGATGCACATAGCTTTAAGCGGTTTTAGATATTAGTCTCAGGAAGTGACATAAAGCCAGGACAAGGCCTAGATGGTCAGAGGCATCCATGTTTGTCTCCTTCTGTCCAGGGGCTACTCGACAAAGCATGTGGTTGAAGGTCTAGAACCAAGGACACTGTACAAATTCCGACTGAAGGTCACCAGCCCCTCTGGAGAATATGAGTACAGCCCAGTCGTCTCGGTGGCTACAACCAGTGAGTACACTCATGCTCCATGCTCCCTTCTTATAGATAGGAAACTCAACAAACAATTTAGAGAGAAAAGTAGTCTGTGTTCTCCCGGGCCTCACCGGAAGCAGAGGGAACTCCATTGGTAAGCTCTTTGTTGGCTGGGCTGGTTGCCTGGGCCACCTTACAGCCTGCCATGAAGAATACCCGCTATGTTTTCAAAGCTGGGAGAGCTGACTCGGTACCAGGATTGTCCTGTCCATGGGCATTGGGCACAGGGTGGAAGTTAACCTTTCTTAGGAGTGGGCTGGCAGGAAGGACGGAGCATGGCTTCTTCCACACGTGTCTACTGTCTGCTTCTGTGCACGTATGTGTCCTGTTCAGTCACAGATTTCCGGTTTCCTGGGTACTGAGACTGAAGAAAATGACGATCACAGAGGTGGGCAGGGAGGCTAGCCATACTTCCTCCCACCACCTTGTCCTTGTCCTGGTTTTCTGTCATTTCCTGAGACTGATATTCTAAAACATTTAAAAATGTGTTCGAGGATGGAAAGTTTTGTATGTGTTCACACCCTTTCATTGAAAGTGCAGGTGAGATTTTTGTTTCCGAGGAGGGTCGTACAAAGAATCTTTTCCTATGTAATTCTAGTTTTTAGTTGTATCTAGTGTGACTCTTGCCTTGTCTGCATATGTTCTGTGATTTGCCATTATGCCCTCATGAATGAAGGTGATTTAGAGTTTGAACTACCTTACTGTGCCTTTGGTTGCCAGGATGGCAAGAGGGGTCTGACTCTGGATGGACAGATATGGAACAGAGTTAATTAAAGCGGAGAGGCGGGGTCTTCACCTGTGGTCCTAAGTGATGCTTAGTTAGTCATGAAACAGGGTAACTTCATAGGAGGCATGCAGCAATCAATTCTGAAGGTCAGGTAAGAGGGCCTGCTCCTTTATCTGGTGATGCTGAAAGTAATATTTATTCCTGGAGTCCGGGAAGAAGAAAAGAAGACACACACACACACACACACACACACACACACAGAGAGAGAGAGAGAGAGAGAGAGAGAGAGAGAGAGAGAGAGAGAGAGAGAGAGAGAGCGCGAGCGCGAGCGCGCGCACTGGAACACAGAAAGGCAAGGTCAGGGAAGTAGTAGGCATGGGAACTACAAACATAGAGCCTGCCTTTGAAAAACCTCTCAGGGCCACAGGCAGGATGCTCTCCCAGGCAGCCTCTGCACTTCCTTCTGACTTTCTCCTCCCACAGCCACCACTCCCCTCTCAGTTCTCAGAGCACCTCGTCCCCTGGTGTGCCCACTGCACATGCTCCGTGGGCAGAGCTGGGTCAGGGCTGATTTCGTGTGCAGGCTTCTTCCTGCACACTGCTGGCCTCACCTTGAGCAGGCTCTGCATTTCTTCCGTCCTGTTTAACATATTTGCCTGCCCTTATCCTCCCACTACTATCGTAGGCTCCTGGATGGAGGGCGAAGTGCCAGCCATCTCTCATATGTGGGGCTGGGTGGGTGGATAGTTAATTAAGATGCAGTGGCAGAGGTAGACGCACAGAGAGGCACACTGGCTTTTGTCTGTTTCTTTGCTCACTCTCGTGTGTTGGGAACAGATCCCTTTCTCACCAACTGGACTAGTCCACCTGACCCTAGCCGGAGAGGTGCACACAGATGGCTCGGCAGCTTGCTGAGGTGGGCTTCAGGTGTCCTGTTGTCCCCTGAACAACACATCTAAGCCAGGGAAGGGCTCCTGTCTTTATTTTAAGAAGGTAGAGAGATGGGCCTGACCCTGCAGATCAGCTGATGAGGGACCTGCTTCTTGCTAAGTGTGTTTCTTGTCCAGCTGCCTTCAGAGAGGCAACTGCAGATATCTGGCCTATGATTTTGCCCTTATATGACTTCTATAGGAAATTAGATAAGATCTCTCAAGGGACAGGGGCACGCCGGTAGTGACTGTGTGTATGTGTGTACATGCACGTAAGTGTGTGCTTACACGCACATGTGTGTATACCCACATACCCAGGCTCACACGATAGCACTCTCAAACAGTGCAGTTCACTGTTTCTCTGCTAGCCTCATGGCGCTATGCTCTGTGGAGGGACTGGTGTCTTTGGTGGAGGCAGGCCTCTGGCTCTGCTAATCGACAGCTCTTCCCCTATTTTATTCTAATATTCAGTGCGGGGCTCTCTTAAGGAGCCTGAAGATGCTCAACAGAGGATCGAGAATGCTCATATTATACAGAGCAAGCAAAAAATGCTTCTGTGAGCTTATAATTTGCATTTAGTTTGAGAGCATTTTAATGAATCACAAAAGCCTGCACTTTGTTTGAATAAAGGATGCTCAGCCTTTTTTTCCCCTTCCCAGGTAAAGTACACGAGGCTCTTGCTTAAATGAAGCATGCAATTTTAATCAGTCAGACCCTTAAAAAGAAAGAAAAACAGCTGCTACTTGTTAATTGGCAAATATCTTCTCCAGTGAGTTCATGATTTCTTCACAGTCTTTAATAAAGACCCGAGTTCCACCGAGGAAGGCGTTCTCGCCGTGTTCTACTTGTGGTCACGTCTGCAGCTAGATGACCCTCATCGAGAGTGAGATGGCTTCTCAAAGTCCACCCTGTCTGTCCCCTCCTAGTGTCCACTGAGTGCACGGCATCCAATCCAGTCCAGATGGACACCCCGGAGCACCCTCGACATGATGCCTGCAGGCACGGCACCTAGAGCCCGAGCGCTGTGGGGTCGGACCCCCCAAGGCTGGCCTGTTCTCTATCCAGTTGCACACACTAAGGCCATTCTCCTGGGCCAGGCCTGCAGAGTCTTGAAGGGCTCATGCTTGGAAGGGTGGGACACGCTGCTCACCCTGGAGTTTCCTCTGTTCTCCGTGCCTCCTGCCTACAATGGACGTGAAAGTGGCAGTCAGGGCCTTTTCACTGTGTCTTGTGAAGTTCTTGCTCACAGGTTTTCTTTGTAAAATCTTTTTCAATATTGTGTATGTGCACAAGTATGCACGTGCATGTGTGTATGTGTAGGTCAGAGGACAGCTTTGTGAAGTTGATTCTCTCTGTCCACCTTCCCGTGGGATCTGGCATGGCATTCAGATTCCCAGGCTTGTGTAGCCAGTGTCTTTACCCTCCTAGGCATGCCACCAATCCATGTTAATAGAGTTTCCTGGACTGATCCACCTGGTTCCAGTGGGAGTCTCCATTTTTCTTTGTCTTCCCTGGGACAACATCTTGGTAGCTGGGGACTACCAAGTCATCGAGAGGGACTCTCATAACTGACCAGTGTTTGTCCCCCCCCCCAAGACTCAGCAAGTGAGATATATGAGCAAGGATGCTGATTTCCTCTGTCTCTGTGAGGTGGTCCCTTGGGTCACAGAATCCCATGGGAAGCACCAAGGATCCCTAAAAGAAGCGGACATGACAGCACATTTAGTTTAGCTGTGTCATGAAGCCTAGACATCTTTGCTGCACACAGCCCTCAAGCTCATAAGCATGAAATGAACTTGTCTTGTTCTCTAATATTTTGGTACAGCAGCACTTCCTGGATGTGGTAGGAAGTGCCTCCCTCAGAAGACCTTCCTGTGCTGTATAGTGAGGTGGGAGCCAGTGAGCGCAGTGAGGCGGGGGCCGCAGTGAGGCGGGGGCCGCAGTGAGGCGGGGGCCGCAGTGAGGCGGGGGCCGCAGTGAGGCGGGGGCCGCAGTGAGGCGGGGGCCGCAGTGAGGCGGGGGCCGCAGTGAGGCGGGGGCCGCAGTGAGGCGGGGGCCGCAGTGAGGCGGGGGCCGCAGTGAGGCGGGGGCCGCAGTGAGGCGAGAGCAGTGAGGCGGAGTGCAGGTAGCCAGTGCAGAGATGGGGACTGCTACAGATGCTTCTAGACCTTGCTCTGAATATCACAAGTCCACATCCCCTGAAGCTTTTAGGCATCCATGTTTATTTGACACTTGTTGGGAAGGGCAGGGGGTATTACATTTATTTTAGATTTTGTATTTTAAACATAGTAAGAATAGAAACATAGTTATAAATCAGTCAGATACCTCAATGCCTATTAAAGTATGGCCCCAGGTGAGACTTGACCATAAGCTCTGATGCTGCCGTCTCCTAACCAATGACATGGACAGCTTTGTATTGCTCAGCCCTGATTTTGTAGCCTGGAGGAGAATTTAGGAAGAATGTGGAGTCCTTACTAGTAAGTGTAGATTTAGAATGCTCTTCACATTGAAAGGTTCAATAGAGACCAGATGAACTTCCGACACTCCCATGCATGACTCTAACTTGCTTTTGCGGCAGCTGGTTCTTGAGACACACACACAAAAGAGTTCCTTTGTAGATAATAGACTTCTTACAGGCAAACTGCCTCTCCCTTTATGTAGGAAGGAAAGGAGGGAGGGCAAGGTCCTGTTTAGTTAATCCCGTGAAGTGTAGAGTCACACAGTGGTCTGTGGAGGAACCACTTCAATGCAGCTGAGATCCTCACCCATGACACCGCTGACTTTCTGAATATGGCTAGGCCATGAGTGGTGGCAAGCTATCCTGTGGGCATCCCTGACCCTGCCCTGCTAGATGCCAGTAGCATCTCCCAAGTTGTGACAAAGGATGTGTCAAATGTCCTTGGGAGTATAAAGTCCCTTTAGTGAGATCCCTGGGCTGCAGGACCTTCCTTAGAAGAACAAGGCTGGCCAGGCCCTTGGCTTTGAAAGCTTTGCATAATACCTGGATTTGAATGAAGACTTTGGTCTAAAGATGTGCGAAATGATGAAAAATGTCTAACATGATTGAATAAATCTTTTAGAGATTGGTAAACTTTAGAAGACAGCGGTTTTAAAGCAATTTAAGTTGATATCAATTGATTTTTACCTAAAAAGAGAAGGAGCCTGCTGTGGCCAATCTGACCCACTGCTCCCAGTTTTTATCACCCCCCCTACACCCCCACCCCGGTCACTTGGCCACTTTGAATGTCTATCACTTAGTGAGGTCTCTATTGCCTGGGATCTGATGTCCTAGAGAGACTGAAACAGGAAAAGGGCTGCCAGCTGGTTCTGCAGGAGGGCTGGGGGCAGGCATCTCAGGAGGGAGTCTGGGCTCAGAGCTGTGTGAGAGGAAGGACTTGCTAGTTTCCTTTACAGTTTAGAATAGTAAGTGTGAAATTGGTGGCAATAGTGTATGTGTGTGTGTGTGTGTGTGTGAGAGAGAGAGAGAGAGAGAGAGAGAGAGACCCCGTTTATCCCATTTTCTCAGAGACCCCTGTGGTGCTATTGATCAACCATCCAGTGGTGTAACTTAGATCAGGAGTTAGAAACAAGCCAAGCAGGCATCACATGCATGGGAGAGGGGGATGTTGAATCTGGTAGGCTGTGAGGGGACGAGGGAGCCATACTAGACATGTTGCCACTGCATCACTTATGCACCTTTGAGCTCTGCCATGCTGATTTGAAAGGCATGGGATGCGGAAGGAGTGAAGCCATAGACTAGTAGTTGGAAGAGAATTTCTTCCAGTGGTCAGTTGTATTGAGGCTGAGGCTGTTGATTTGCTGCCCCCGTGCCCCCTCAGAGTTGACGTCCATGTCCCTGTGCCAGCCACTGCCTCTCTGTTTCCCATTGATCTTCTTGTTGTCTTAGGCTCATCCCCCCACCATTTCCAACTTGGCAGATTACCATCTCCCTTTAAGGGGTTTCTCAAGGCTCCCCACTTCCCTGTGGGTATGAAGTCCAACTGCTCTCCCAACACAGGAGCTAAAGCAGTTGCCCTTTTGAACTATTTTAGCCACTCCGGTAAAAGAAAGCAGCACGTTGTGCCAGTTTCTGGGGTTTTCTTGGTCACGGGAGACGTTAGGAAGGATTATTCCCATGGCATCACTCATGAAGAAGCACCTTACAATTTGAAAACGTCCCAGTTCTTTGGGTCAGCCTGTGAAGTTTCTCTTAATGTGTGAAAAACGGGTCTTTGTCAGTAAAAGCTCAGTTCAGTGGGAAATGTGAGCTCTGCCGACAGGGACAACTCCATACCTTCTTGGAAGCAAAGGTGAACATCCACCCAAGGCCACGGGAGACAATGGGGTCGAACTTCCCACCCCTGCATTCTGGGTGAAGGCTGTCCGTCTGCTTTCTCTAGGGGAGCCCATAAGTAGCGAGCACTTCCACCGTGCTGTCAACGTGAATGATGAAGACCTCCTGCTCCGCATCCTGGAAGGAGGGTGAGAGAGCACAGCGGGTGTTCTGTCCTTTCTTCCGCAGCCCGGGCACAGGCACACGTGGCACGGCTCTATTTTGTTTTCCTAGACAGATTCTCTAGCGCCTTCAAAGCACCTCCCTCATTGACCTCAGGTGGCTGGTATGAGGTAGGGAAGCCTAGCTAATAAAGAGTCATAAGACCCCTGTGAGTGATTTTTTTTTTTAAATGAAAACTATCAAAGGAAATGACAGGTCCGGGCATCATGCTTTGGCCCCAGCTGCAATTATTATCCTTTGGCTCTCGGCCCAGCATCGAGTACAGGTCAGTCTGAAATGCCCACGTGATACCAGGTGATGCTGGGAATCAGCGGACAGCTGGCCTGGAGACCAGAAGGTTGGGAGGACTCCAGAAAAAAGGGGAGGGGCACTGCCACAGGAGTGATACTTGAGGGTGCCCTCCCTCATGTAGACACAATTTAGATTCTTCTGTAGCATGGTTTTGTGCACCTGAGAAGGCAGTGGTTTCTGAACTGGGACTTGGTAAGTTGATGAAAAGGTTCCACAGAATGTCAAGTTCCTTGACTGGCAACACGAGATGGGTATTCTTCCCTTAGGAGAGTGAGGAGCCAAGGGAAAAGCCCAGGCCCTGGCCATACCTGCTTCTATGGTGGAACGGAGCATTGGTGCCATGCTGTTCCCAGCTCACGCCGAGAGGCTTTGCTGGTCACAGACGATTCCATGGAAAGGCACGATGGTTTTGAGTTGGAGGAAGCTCCCATTCCAAGTAAAATGACAGTGTTTTTCACAAAAAATTAAACCTTTAAAGCTATTAGGGCAGTGTTTGTTAAAAAAAAAATGAGCTGGGCAGTGGTGGCACATACCTTTAATCCCAGCACTTGGGAGGCAGAGGCAGGTGAATCTCTGTGAGTTCGAGGCCAGCCTGGTCTACAAGAGCTAGTTCTAGGATAGGGCTCCAAAAAACTACAGAGAAACTATGTCTCAAAAAAATCAACAAACAAACAAAAAACTATTAGGGCATTGTGAGACAAAAACTTAAAGGTCCAAGAGCAACGGACAGTTTTGGTAAAATGAGTTATTTCAGCCCCTGTGGATGCTGTTAACTTCAGGGATCTCTGTTGCGAATGACAAACTTCCTCTCTCTTTTCCTTAAGCCATGTAAAGGTGGACGTGCCCAACAAGTTTGGCTTTACTGCCCTCATGGTTGCTGCTCAGAAAGGCTATACCAGGTACGGCTTCTCCCTGTCCCTGGAGGTTGTAGCCAGCATGGGATGGTAGCTTCTTTTCCCTCCCCAAACGCTCCCCTGGAATGGCTTGGGTTCGGCAGCACACAGACTCGTCTGTATTTAGTCTCACACCATATATTGTATACGTCTTGGGAACAGTCAAGATTGGAATTTGAATTTCTTTAAACAAAGTGGTTGAGGACATTTTGGGAATGGTCTTCCCCCTTGAGGTTGCCATCAGCTGTCCCGCAGGGATGGCTGTAAGTACCAACATCTTATCTTTCAATCATATTTCTCTTGATTGCAACGATGCCAACTGGGTGACACTAGAAATGTGTTCTCAGTAAGTGTTTCTGTTTGATCCTATATTAAAAATGGCCATTAAAATGACACGAACTATTTGTGCCATGTGGGCAGGGTTGGGGACCCTATTTTCAGTGGGGATTAGTGGGCTTCCCGTTTAACAGAACTTCCTGTCTTCAGAATGGGTAAAAAGGGCGGTGTGGTAATGATGCCTTGAATGTCAAATTACTAAGTTTCATTGGGTTGCCATGGGCTCCACGTCCCCGAAGCAAATCTCACTACTTTCAACTTGGTTCCACCCAGGCTTGTGAAGATCCTAGTTTCCAATGGCACAGACGTGAATCTAAAGAACGGAAGTGGCAAGGACAGGTAGGAGGTGGGGTAACTCCGAGCTGGCATAGTTGCCTGCTGTGTTATGAGACTGTTCTTGGTTTGTTTGTTTCTTTTGCCTTACACATTTTGTTTAGTTTATTGTGAAAGTTCTGAGAGGTGGTTGGGTCCTACTGGGAAGATGGGATAACAAAAGCTGGCTTGTTCATTTGTGGTCTCGTTCATCAGATATGACCTGCCCAACCTCCTCCAGGTCAGTAATGCATAGCTGTAAAAACAATACCACCAACTCTGCCCAGGCACACGGCTCCTTTCTTGGGGGCTCTTGTTACATTCCAGCTTCCTCTGCTGCCCAAGAAGCCCAGGTGTTTGTAAAGCAGCAGTCAAAGGTCGGCATCAGAGATACTACTGCAAAACATGGCTGTGGTTTCTATCACACCAGCTGGGGGTGTTACGGTGAGTGGGTCTCAACCTTCCTCATGCTGTGATCCTTTAATACCTCATGCTGTGGTAACCCCCAACCATAGAATTATTTCATTGCTACCTCATAGCCGTAATTTTTCTACTGTTATGAATCATAATGTAAATATCTGATATGCAGGTTGTCTGATATGTGATCCCTCTGAAATGGTCATTCAACCCCAAAAGGGATCACGACCCACAGGTTGAGAACCATTAGTCTTATAGGAAGTGGCTGAGGGGGAGCTTGGTGTTCATGGACAGATGAACACTTTGAAATACTTCAATACCAGCTGTTGTAGCTGTTGTAATGATTGAACTATTTTAGCATATCCATTGATTATTTGATGACGACTACATGCCAGGCACCATGCTTTAGTACATGGGTCCAACAGGGAGACAAACGATACCACCTTTCCTCAGGGTGCCCGCAGGGTACATGGTGTTCACAGGGTGCCCGCAGGGTACATGGTGTTCACAGGGTGCCCGCAGGGTACATGGTGTCCTCAGGGTGCCCGCAGGGTACATGGTGTTCACAGGGTGCCTGCAGGGTACATGGTGTCCTCAGGGTGCCCACAGGGTACATGGTGTTCACAGGTCGAAGGCATAGGAATTGCCTGCATACACTCTGATCATATGCCATACTTTTGTGTGTGTGTCTATGTCTGTGTGTGTACATTCATGTGTCAGTGTACACGTGTGTGGGTGCACATTTCTATGGGTGTGATTGTAAAAGCTTGTGGAGGCCTTAGTTAACTGAAGGTGTTACAATTGGGAGGCAACTACCCTGCTTTCTGAGTTCTCCCATTGGCAGCCAGCTGGCGGACTCAGCTGGGCTGGCTGGCCAGTCTGCAAGTTCCAGGGAGCTTCCTGTCTCCACTTGAACCACCGGTGATGAGTTAGAGGTGCATGCTGGCATACCTGGTTTTTCACCTGAGTGCGAGCACTTTGCCCACTGAGCGATCTCCACAAACTCAAATGTGGTTTCTAATCCAGAGAGGCCATCTGTTCCATTCCGGTTCAGTGAAAGATAACATTGAGACATAATTTTTAAATTATTTTCTGAGTGACTCTTAAACCAGTCTGGAACTAAGCCATCAATTGGCTGAAGAGTTTTGAAAAAAACATTTCCAGTTTACAAAGGAAACATTTTAAGGGAAGTAGAAAACAGGAAGGAATTGAAAGAGCTAGAAAGGGATTAATGGTAATATTTTCATGTTGCAAAAATGTATAGGATACCTCTTAACAAAAATCTTCATGATAAACTGATGTCTTGTACATCAAAGAAAAGAAATAAAATTGGATACTGGGAAGAGAAATAATGGTTAGAGAGAAGGTATTTGAAAATGAAAAGAAGGTAACACTTTGTGTCTCATAATAGATTTGGTAATTGTGTTGAAATGTATGCTTTTTAGAGAAACTCAAAGCCACCAGAATCCACCCAGGAAGTGGAAAATTGAAAATGAATAGCATCTATGTAAAACATAAAATGTGTTCAAGGTTTGCTCCATAGGGGCTCTTGCTTCAGGTTTGCGTGTGTCGATCCTAAGCTCAGAGTTTCCACGGCAAAGACAAGCTGGAAGCTGCAGAGAGCATGGGCAGTATTGAGAACATATGAGCAGGGCTGGGGTGCTGCTCAGTGTTTGCCTAGAGTACAAATCCCTGGGTTCAACCCCATTCCTGGAAAAAAATGGTGGCAGGTCCTTTGCGTGTTTGTAGGTATTTATATTTATAACCTACTTCCTCCCAGTCAGAAAAGTGTTTAGGAAGGTAAGGAAATTCCTATTAGAAGGTTTCTAACCTAACATCCTTCCTTAGAGATTCAAGGTGAAGGGAGACCTTAGGTGCAACTCGGCGCCTTGTTAGAATTGGCCTAGGAGTCTGTCAGCAGAAGGATGTAGGGAGAAAGGTGGACACGCACAGTAGAGTTTTATTCTGCCCTAAAGCACATGTGGCGATGGCTTCTGGGAAATGATACAGCCAGGCATCAGCAGATTGTGTGAAGTAAGCCAGATTTTGATTTTTTTTCTTATTTGTGGATTCTAGAGTTTATATAGATGCATAGCCATTTATGTATAAATTACATGAAAACAGAAGCAGGACCAGGCAGGGACAGATGGAAGGAAAGTGAGGAGGGTGGAGGGTATGAGTTGGAGTATGTGGTCTACTTGAGAGAAATTGTCCTTATGAAACCCAACATTATGTACAACGAATGTACATGTGCTGGAGAGTTTTATGTCAGCTTGACCAAAGCTAAAGTCCTCTGAGAGGAGGGAGCCTCAGTTAAGAAAATGCCTCCACAAGATAGGGCTGCAGGCAAGCCTATAGGACATTTTCTTAATTAGTAGTTGATGGGGGAGGGCCTATCCCTTTGTTGGTGGTGCTGTCCCTGGACTGGTGGTCCTTGGTTCTATAAGAAAGGGGGCTGAGTAGGCCAGATGGAGCAAGCCAGTAAGCAGCACCACTCCATGACCTCTGCATCAGCTCCTGCCTCCAGGCTCCTGTCCCATTTGGGTTCCTGTTCTGGCTTCTTACTGTACTACAATGCAGAAGTGCAAGCCAAATAAACCCTTTCCTCCCCTATTTACTTTTTGGTCATAGTATTTCATTGCAACAATAGAAACCCTAAGACAATGCATCATTTAAAAATGTATTTTATGGCCAGACAGATGGCTCAGTGAATTCCTAGCACCCGTGAAAAATGCCAGGATGGCTGTGTGCATCTATAATCCCAGTACTGTGACTGGAGCATGTGGGGGCAGTAAGACTACTGGGGATTATTGGCTGCTAGCCTAGTTCCAGGGTCAGTGAAAGACCCGTCTCAAGGGAATAAAGCAGAGAGTGCCAGCACAGAAATCCTGTGTGTATATACACCACAACAGACCCTCAGCCTTCGGAGGGTGCCTGGCGCAGAAGTAGCAGGAAGTGCCAACATTATTTGTTATGTTTTGCGATGGAGGATTAGTTGGTCTCTTAGTTTGGGTTTTTATTGCTGCGAAGGACACCACAACCAAGTCAACTCTTATAAAGAAGATATTTAGCTAGGGTGGCATGAAAAAAGCATTTAATTGGGGCAGCTCACTTACAGTTTCAGAGGTCCAGTCCATTTATCATCATGATAGGGAGCATGGTGGCATGCAGACAGACATGGTGCTGGAGCTGAGAGTGCTACATCTGGACTCAGGCAACAGGAAGTAGACGAACTCACACTGAGAGAAGCTTGAGCAAGAGACCTCAAAGCCTGCCCCCACAGTGACACACTTCCTCCAACAAGGCCACACCCTCTAATAGTGCCACTCCCTTTGGGGGCCATTTCCTTTCAAACCACCATGGTATGACTGTGTTGTCCATGCTGGTCTGGAACTCATACTTCTGCCTCAGCCTCTGGAGGAGACGGGATGACAGGTGTATACAGTCCTGCCTGTCACCATACAAAATGGTCATTTCTTAGCAACGGCAAATTCCTTCTGAGTTTGCAGAGAGCTGGGGTGGGAGTGCAGTGAAGAGCAAAGACAGCATAGTGTCAAAGCCCAGTCCTTCAAGGACACAATATATCACCTCGGATAGCAACCTTCCTTATGTAACCCATGGGTTATCGCAGGCAATGAATGGGTTAACATATGGGCACATGTGAAGCAGCTCTCAGCGAATGCACCTTATATTCTGTTTCATGATTGGACAGTATTTTGGAAGATACAGGGGTAAGAGGTGCGATTCCTCCTGGCCTGCAGAACCCAAGAGAAACAACTAGCAAAGACCTGAAACTTAATAAGAAGGTTTCCTGACATGGCAGTCATAAGATGATTAAAAACATACTAGGTGTACTGGCACACACCTTTAATCTCAGCACTCAGGGGACAGAGGCAGGGGCATCTCTGTGAGTTTCAGGCCATCCAGGGCTATATGATGAGACTCTGTTTTAAGAAAGGTACTAGCTCATTCATATCTAAACACAGTAGAGTAGAATAAGTCCCCGAAGGCAAGAAGCCTGATAAAAACACACAGCTCCAGAACTACACTGAGAGATCGAGATGCGAACAGTCGGGATCGACACCACACTTCAGAATGGCAAGAATACAGCACCATTTTCTATTTTTCTCAAATTAGCATAGAGATTGAATATAGCCTCAAATGGAATTATTCTTGGGAACCCGTTAAAATGATTGTAATTTATCTGAGTGAACAAATGGATGGCAATAGATACTAAAACTTTCAGAGACTGTGGGGACAGCTATTAAAATGCCTTAAGAATTAAACCAATTAGAGAGGTGGGCACTGTGCAAAAGACTGGAAGAAGATAAACAGGGTAGGCAGAACCTAATGTCTGATGGTCGAGGTGCTACAGATGGATGGAGAAGGTACCAGAAAAAGGCTATTCGAGAAAGAAAATAAGATCTTGGCCTTCCAGCAAGCATCAAAGCACATGTCAAATGAACAGAAATTAAATGTAAAAAGTCATAAAATACCACGAGGAAGTAGGGATTTAGTCATCTGACTTCGTAATGCGCAAGGCCAAATTGGGAAGGAGAAGCTGCATAGCTAGGGCTGTGCGAGTGAACACTGAGCAGCGTGCAGGGAACAGTCTCTGTCCATGCACATCCGCAGCCAGGGACAGCTCCCTCTGCCCAGCAACTCACACAGACTGCAGTCAGAACATATGCGTTTGGTAATAATAATAAAGGTGGAGTAAATTGGACATTTCCAGATGGAGTTGCTAAAAGCATGTCATGATGCAGACAATTTGGGAATATACATGGGCCAGGTCCTGAGGGCTGGGGTCTAGCTCAGTGGTGGAATGTTTGCTGTGTACTTGGTATAGGTGAAAATTTGAGCATCCACTTCCTTTCATTTTATGTGAGAAAACACATACACTCACAATCTGAGATCCACATATTACACAGTGATTTAGACATGCAATCTGATATATATGTATATATATATATATACAAGCACACACACAAATGATTCACACTTGCACACACACATACACACATGCACACACACATAATGTAAAAGTAGAAAGGAGACTGGAGAGGGAGTGGCTGGCAGGAGGTGGAGGGGAAGGAAAGGGCAATGAGTATGTGCTAATACAAAGCTCAGAAAGGCCATGGCCACTCACACACTGATTTAGGACTAATCTAGGACTTCTACACCCAGAGAATGCTCAGAAGTGCAATTAAGGTTTTATAGGCAGGGCATCTTTCTTAGGACAATCAAGGATTTGAATAGTCCCAGTGTCCTCATGTGGTCATCTAAGGACTACCTTTTTCTATTGAGATGATCTTTCATTTTATTTTTTAACTATTTATTTAAATCCTTTTCAAACATTTAGAAAATGTGGAAGAATAACACAGAAAACCCCTGCCCATGCTCCACTGAGTCTTGGTGTAGGTGGACTTTTCTGCCTAGCTCTGTCCCACCAGCTGCTCAAGTAACCACACAGGGACTTAATATTAATTATGAATGCTCAGCTGATAGCTGAGGCTAGTTTTTAGCTAACTCTTACAACTTAGCCCATTTCTATTAATCTATGTGCTGCCCCGAGGCTCATTTACCTCATGTAGGTACAGCCCATCCTGCTTGCTTATGGTGTCTCTGCTGACTCTGTCCTTCTTCCCAGTATCCTCCTAGTCTGGCCCTCCCACCCAGTCTCTCCTGCCCAGCTATAGGCCAGTCAGCTCTTTATTAACCAATGGCAGTAGTACATGTTTACAGTGTACAAAGGTTGTTCCACAGCAGCTTGGCAGGGCTGACATGTGCCCATATTTGTAGAAAGCCCTTCCCACGTGTGTGCTTCAGTCACCTTCAGCTGTGTGCTCCTGGAGGCATGCCTGCCATCACAGCACACTTGGGGTCCTTCTCCCCAATCCCCTGGCATCACCAACACCCAGGCTCCCACTTGTCCTCCAGATGTCACTCTTAGTGGTGGGTGCTGGGGCGAGATCACGAGTCAGCCTTGCCCCCACATGTGCCTGCTGCTTCTGCCTCTGTGGTTTCATTTTCTTTATTGAGAACCTGTTGTCTAGCAAGTCCTCTCCCTCCATCGTCTGTCCCCTCCATCTTGATGCCCCTTCTCATCTTCTCTCCCCTCTCCTCTCTCCCTCCATTCCATCCCTCTCTCTAGTCTCTCCCCTCCATTCTCTCTTCCATCCTCCTCCCTCCTGTGTCTCTCCGCCTAACTGACATCTGAAGCTGACTGCCTACGTTCTGGGCTTGCTTCTGTCACCTCCCAGGGGAAGGGTAGCATCTAGCTTGCCCATCTAAGTCTATATTCCCAGCAAAGGTATTTTTATGTTAAGGTTATAAAGGTTTGACTGAACACAGGGTGCCATCTTGGGCAGGAACCTTGAGAGCTTGTGTTGTTTAGGTCACAGCTGTGGAGGGCCCATACTGTGGAACGCGCCAGAGGTGGCGATTCCAGGCTTGATTCTGGTGGCAGTGGTGATAGCTACATCTCTGCAAAGTTACATTGTCCTCATGGCAACTAGAAAACTAATCTATAGGATAATACATTTGTATGACGTGACTGCATCAGTCCCCACTAACACAGCATCCAGAAGTGGTCTCTGCCCGTACAGCTGTCTGATTAGGAGGTGCACAAAAGGATTCCATATTAGTTGTCAGACTCTATAAGGAGGACGCCCCCAGCAGGTGGAGGAGAGCGACAGTGAGTGAGCTTCCTGTTTTAGACTAAAAAATTGGTTTAATAATGATCGCTGACAGCATGACCCATGAGCCTTCATTATTCTGTTTGAATATAATCTGTTTTTTTGGATATTTTAAAATCTAATAATTTATACTAAATTGTAACTACTATTCATTTTCAAAACACTTTTGTATGTGTTTGCATGTGTGTATGTGCATGCACGTGTGTATTCATGCTCATGTGCCATGGTACTCATGCGGACGCCAGAGGACAGGGTGCAGGAGTCCGTCCTCTCTTTTTACAGTGTGGCCTCTGGGACTGAACTCGGATCATTCTGCTTTACCTTCTGGATCATCTTGCTTCAGTACTTCTTTTAAAGAATGCAATCCAAATTCCATAGAACGTAGAGCTTTAAAAGACATTCATGTGATTGTTCACCCATCACGACCACCCTGGCGGTCAGTTTCATGAAGTATAACAAGTATATTTCCCCTGCTTAGCCCAAACAGCTACCCGCCTGCTGTAGTCTTCCTCCTTAGGCTCTCCCGGATGTTTCGTGTAAATGGATCATATGCTATGACTTTTGATGCCTGGCATCTTTTATTGTTCAAATTGTTGAAAGCTTTTTCATATTGCAGACTTAATTTCCCTTTGGTGACTGACTCAACACTCCATGGATTTAATCACATTTTATCTATGGTAAAATGGATTTTTTCATTTTTACAAAAAATTGTATGGATTTACTACATTTTATCTATCAGGACACGTGCACATTTTGTGTGGATAAAACACACAGTTTTTTTCTTTTACTCAATTGATGTTTTTTTATTTACTTTGGGTGGACAAAATGTGGACCCAATCAGTGGTGGCCCCTGTAGCAGATTCTCCTTTTCTGCACCCTGCAGTCTCATGCTTGCTTGCTACGCGGGCCACCTGGATGTTGTGAAATACCTCCGAAGACACGGAGCATCTTGGGATGCCAGAGACCTTGGAGGCTGCACGGCTCTGCACTGGGCTGCAGATGGAGGCCACTGCCCCGTGATTGACTGGATGATAAAGGACGGCTGTGAGGTATGGCCTTCCCTGCTCCCTTGTTAACCATACCGTCCTAGGCTTCTATTGCATTGAAGAGACACCACGACCATGGCAACTCTTACAGGGAAAACATTTCATTGCAGGTGCTTGCTTACAGTTTCAGAGGGTCAGTCCATTATCATCAGGGTGGGGGGACATGGTGGCCTACAGGCAGATGTAGTACTGGTGTAGCTGAAAGTCCTAGCATCATGCAGGGAACAGGAAGTTGACTGCCTACTGGGAAGTATCCTGAGCCTAGGAAAGCTCAAAGCATGGTCTCCACAGTGACCCATTTCATCCAACAAGACCATACCCACTCCAACAAAGCCAGACCTATTAACAGTGCCATTCCCTAGGAAATTTAGGGGGCCAATTACATTCACACTACCATCCACACCATACTAGTAAGAACTTGAGTCTCCTCTGGGGTCTTGAAGAGGCAGGCAGGCCTTAGTCACTTGCTCTGAGAAAAGTCTGAGGGGAGGCTCTGGCTCAGGAGCTTGAAAGGTCTTGGAGGATCCCTGGGGATCTGAGACTACAACCAGACTGCATCTCATCATGGAGGCCAGAAGTGGGCGGAGCTCACAGCTGGCCGGATGCATCTGTGCTGTAGCTCTGCCCCTTCGTGAATTTCTAGTATCTGTTGTCACGGAAGCCTTACTGAGCACCCGCTACATGCCGGAATGTAGAGATGTACACAGGTCTAGCTGCTTTCAAAGCGAGGTGGTTTATATTCTTGGGATCTCTGTCTGCATATGTGTGATATATGACGTATATACATGTTTGTATGGCTATGTACATATGTGTACATGTGGAGGCCAGAGGTGGTGTTGGGTGTGATTGGCAGGTGGTGGTCCTGGGAAGCTGAGTCTCTGACCTGGAACTGCGCATCTGGGAAAGTCTCTTTTCCCAGAAGACGTTGGTGAATGTATCTAGTTCATCTCCGGGGTGAGTGAGGGAAAGCAGGGCTTCTGCCTCGGGTCTCACTAGGTCCCCGCCATTGCTCTCAAGGAAATGATTTACTTTGAAGGAAAAATTCCCAGTCATGAAGATAATTCCATTTTACCACATACCCCATTTATTTATGCTTGAGGGACAAGCATATTATTATGGAGAGGTGACATCTATGTCTTTTTATTCCACATGATTTTTTTTGGAAGACTAAATCGAAAGAGTTGATTATAAATTGGATTATGAACATTTGCAAAATGTCAGAAGTCTTAGAAGGCTGGTGTCAGTGAGAGAGGTCTATGAGGCAGTTGGTGGCCACCATGACCCTGTGTGGTTTACTGTGAGTCTGTAATGAAGAAAAGCTGATGTCTTCTGGGAAAGGAAAAGGGTTCTCAGGCAGTCGGGTTCTCTGATGTAAACATTTAAATTCTGGAATTTTGAAGTGTGGATGTTCTGGGCTCCAAGTATACAACCCAGCCATCTGGGTCAAATTCCACCTTCTGTAGCCCAGGAGGACAGGCCAGCACGAATGGGTCCCCTGGAGACTTCTCTCTACAGCTGGCTAGTGGGGATGGGTTGAAGGCAGCCGAGCCTCCATGTTGTTGGCAGATTGTTTACCTGAAGTTTCTGAAGACCATGGGCAAGACAGAGTCAGGCAGGGTTACCACCCCCTTCCCAGGTGTAAGGATTTCATGCTAAGGGTGACATGTTTCCCTCAGTGGGGAAACATTGGTGCATTTGATGTGCTGTGTGACCTGGGGAAAGGCACTGGGCTCCTGAGGCAGGTTTGAGCATTTCTAAACTGGGAATAAAACCACATAGCCATACCCCGCCCCCAGGCCAGCCAGGCCTTGTGAGGTGCTTTGGAGACTCTAAAGCCTCTTGTCAAGGCGGTTCTTATTGTATTGCTATTCAAACACAGCAGAGCTTGTTGATCATAAGTTGGCTATTTCTATGAAGAAGAGCAGTGATGGGATAGAGAGGATCCACCAGACTCATGTATCTGAACAACGGGATGTCCTCAGAGCCTCCTGCTGGCCTCTTGTTGGTTATCTGGTTTTGATGGTTCACTTCAACTGTGGGTCACCTTTGCATCCTTGAGGAATGGTTCTGTAGTGTTCTCTCTCTCTCTCTCTCTCTCTCTCTCTCTCTCTCTCTCTCTCTCTCTCTCTCTGCATGTGTATGCATGTGCATACCACCATGATCTCTCATTCCCCTCTTTACTCTTCATGGTTTGGTTGGGGATAGCCTAGAATTTGGAGAGGTGACATCTATGTCTTTTTATTCCACATGATTTTTTTTGGAAGACTAAATTGAAAGAGTTGATTATAAACTGGGTTATGAACATTGACCCTCTTACTTTTGGGCACATGGTGTTTTGGAGATAGCATTGGGCATGAATGCATTAGGTCAGTTTGTGTGGTGGATCTGGTCTCTCTGCCTGAGTTGTAAGCTTGTGAAGTACAAAGGTGTACACTCTTGTCATCCCTGCCTTGTTCTAGGAAAGATTTAAACACTCTGAGAGAGATAGTGAAGGATAAAATACTATCGAGCCTGGTGTGGTGGCACAAATTTAATCCCAGCAGGGGAGAGGCAGAGACGGATGGATTTCTGTGAGTTTGAGGCTGCCTGGTCTACATAGTGAGACCCTGTCTCAATTTAAGAAAGCAAAAAAAGAAAATGAACACTAGTAAAATTACATTCGGGGGCTGGAGCGATGGCACAGTGGTTAAGAGCACTTGCTGCTCTTCCAGAAGACCTGGGTTTGATTCCCAGCACCCACGTGGTGGCTCGCAACTGTAACTCAGCCCCAGGGGTTCTGATGCCCTCTCTTGGCCTCCATGGCCACTGTAGGCACATGGTGCACAGGTACGCAGGCAAAAAGCTCAAACATAGAAAATAAAGCTAAGTTTTTAAAATAATTAAAAACTGCAGCAAAGGAAAGCACAGGGGCCCAGTGTGAGGTATAGTTGGGTGTCTTCCTAGCCTGTCCTTTTCCATTTTAACAGTGAACAGTACGCCAGTAGGGAGTTCTTGAGCTGTCTCAGCAGAGGGGGACCCCCTATGAGACTCAGTACATCCCCTCCCTGAACACAGGCATGAATTCAGCTGGCTCACTCCAGGTTCAGAAAACCAGGGAGCCTGGGAAAGTGCACACCCTCTGTGTGTCTGCCCAACAGTGCCACAGGGAAGTGATTAGACTGAGGCAGGTGTCCCTTTGGCAACACAGGTGGATGTTGTGGACACTGGCTCAGGATGGACACCGCTCATGAGAGTCTCTGCTATGACAGGAAGCCAGAAGGTAGCTTCGCTCCTCATCGAGGCTGGGGCTGACGTGAACGTGAAGGACAAAGATGGAAAGACGCCTCTCATGGTATGCCCTCCTCCCCGGGGTCTCAGTTTTTGTTATGGCCAGACATGGCTTTGAGAGTTGAGCTGTTTATAACTGAGCCCTGGGTTTGGTTGCATAGAATGACCTATCCGTTAACAAGCAGGGGAAAGTCACTGTAGTCTCAACATATTTGAAGTGGGACTTATGTTGCCCATGTCGGCCTCAAACTCCTGGATCCTGGGGTCTACTTGAGCCTCTGAGTAGGCACTGTTCCTGTGCCCCACACTATAAGGACTATCAACCCCAATTCCCAGGGCCATTGTGAGATCAAAGTAGACATGTTTAAACAATGAACTTCCTGCCTTTCTACCCTGGGCTGTCCTGTCCTGTATCATTTCAGTGTGGACAGAGGTAAGAAACATTTCCTGTTTGCAGCTCAACAGTCAGCAGGATGCAGGCCAGAGCAGAGCTGCTGTGGGCAGTGGCCTAGCCCAGGGCTGCCTTGGGAGGTGGACTGTTCCTCCCCCCAACCCCCGCTACCTGCACTTGTTCTGGAGGGGAGGAGAGCTCCTCACCACACTTCTCTGCTTCCAGGTTGCCGTCTTAAATAACCACGAACAGCTAGTTCAGTTACTTCTTGACAAAGGGGCGGATGCAAGTGTGAAAAACGAGGTAATGTTTATGGGAGAATGCCCTCCGAGAAGAAAGAAATGCATGAGAACCATATATTCTGATCTGTAATCCAATTAACTAAGTTCTGCTTCCCTCCAGTTTGGCAAAGGTGTCCTAGAAATGGCCAGAGTTTTTGACAGACAGGTGAGGACCTCCCTCCTGCCTAACTAAGCTGACTTTTTGTAGTTCTTTCAGACTCACAGAACCCGTCCAAACATCGAAGAACACAGACCTGTTTTATGTGGTTTTTCTAGAATGTACTCTCCTTACTAGAAGAAAGAAAAAAAAAGCTGCCAAGAAAGTCCTCCGTCCACTGATGGGAAGGAGCGTCCCCTGTCTGAGAGACCGACAGGAGCAAAAGAGCAAACCCTGACTGCTGGGCCGGCCACGCGATGTGCGGGGTATCCGAGGCCAAGACGTTTATTTATTTAGTTGAAGATTCACAGTGACTTTTATGTAACAGGCAACTCTTCCCACCTTGAAATACATCTTTTTACTTAAGCACATGCATATGTGGTCTCGTCACTGGACGTCCATAGAACAGGGATGTTTTCTTACCCCGTGCCTTTGCAGTTAGACACGAAACCAAATATTTATGCACTGGTGCTACAGAAATGTGCACACAGGTCCTCACTCCTGTGCTTTCCCCTCACCCGCCCACACTGTCCTCATGATGCTCCAGGCCTACTGGCCTTCTTCTCATGTGTTTCTTATTATCTCTCCCGCCCAAGTACAGTCCAGGCTGCTGTGGCCTCCCGCAGTGGGGTGCCTAAGCACCCAGGCGTTTTCTCTTAGACTCTTGGCCTCACGTCAAAGATCACAAACACGTATCTGAAGATGGTGCCATTCTGTTAGCAGTGCTGGGAGGACATGTCCACCAGTTCATGGGTTTGTATGGACTCATCTCTTTGGTCAAAGGACCCAGCCCCCAGGGGGCCGGACAGCTTCACCAGTGAGTAGCATATCACATTTAGTTTGGAGAGCAGACAAGATTTTTGAGGCACCTCGTATAGTTTGTAGACAAAGAGGGGCTAACCACCACCAAGACCATTGGTTAAGAGCTTAAAGAGAGAAATGTGGGAAGCTTTAGCTGGGCCAAGCTTAGATACCAGCAAAGCGAGCAGCACACATACATTTTTGAGTCTCTGGGGACAAGCTGGTTCACTTGGCCCTTTATAAGGTACTTATTAAAGCCCTTACAGGAGTGCATTTTTTTTATAGTAGGGAAGACTAATGAAAAGGTAACCAAGGGTCCATACTAGGGAAGCCACAGAGAGAACACTTATACATTGAAATAGATGTGAGCAGCTGTCAGGGGGCTTCTCTGCAGAACCACAGAGCATTCATCTGAGAATTGATCTGTGGGCTGTGTATAAGCTTGGCTATCGATGCTGCGTTGGCATTTTGCCTTTCATATAAGGGCTTTTCTTCTGCTTTGTTCGTGATCAGCATTGCCACCCAGCTTCCCGTCCTCTCTGGGCCTGATGCAAACGGCATTCGCCAGCCCCTCTATGGAAGAAGGACACATCACATGCTTCCTGGCCAGCATCCTGCTTGGAAACATTGTCAACTGTCTGGCCTTACTACTGAACCATGCTTACATTCCTGAGATGGTCGCACTGGGTTCTGGTGGACAGCTGGGTCTGTGTGCTCAAAGGCTACAGTCTTTGCCGTTCATTTGGCCTGATGATTAGGAGGTGATTTACAGCCTGCTTATTTCCCCCCCCCCCCAGTAACTCATGGTTCTGTTTTTCTAACTCATTAAATTACATGCTTTATTTTTACAAAGTTATTATTTATTTTTATGCAAGGCTTTTTGTTGTTCCTTTTATAGACATCAAGCCCACTTATTCTCAACTCTTTTGTTTAGTAATTTACGTATTTGTGCCTCTGAGTTTTCCCCTGAGGGGCTGCTTTTGTTCCAGTGTCATAAGGGTTTCTTTCTCTGGACCTTCTGGATCCTAAGACATGGGGGGGGGGGGAATAAGCAGGCTGTAAATCACCTCTTAACCACCCATTAGCCACCTCTGTGGGTTTCTTTAGGACCCTCTGAATTATCAGAGACAGGGCACAGGAATAGAGTTTAACGAGGACAACAGGTAAATGCTTCTAGTTCTGGGAGTTTGAGAGCCATCCCATAGTATACATCCTACCATTCCCAGTGTTATACTGGCTGCAGAATTCCTAGGACACACAGTTGTTCTGGTTTTTTTTTTTTTTTTTTGCTTGTTTGTTGATTTATTCTTTGATCCTGAGCAGCACTAGGGCAGAGGTCAGATTCTGTGCATTTAGGATGCCTGTTTGGTGTATGTGAATTTGCCAGTCACCTGGCGACATCATAAAACCTACTTGCTTTGTCTTGGATTAAGTGGTAAGAACAGATTCCTTTATTTTTGCTATAATTTTGAATATATGTGTACATCTATATGGAGAGGATAAATACTTTTGTTTTCTGCAGCTTTGTTTATGAAGAAGTTGGACGCTATTTTAAAAATGTGTAAGCATGGATCCCTCATATTTAGATGTCCTTTGCTGACAAGCTGATACTTAGATGATTGCTTACTTTTTGAACATTTCAGTAAGTAACATAAATTTTTTTTAAGTTATCTGGATAGGTTATGAACTCACACTATTCAAAATGGCATTGGTTCCCCCACTGTCTCACCAGTGCTATGCTTTGACAGGCGTTCTCTTCTTTCTTCCCAGGACTGGCAGCATGTGCACCTTCACCTTTCAACAGTTCTCAGTTGCTTGCACAGTGCTCCCAGATGCCCTTACATTTGTAAATGAATGAAAACAGAGCTCTGTTTTTCTACATAAGGTTCTCGATAGCAAATGAGACACGCAATGTTTATCTGTTTACTGTTTATTGGGTATAATATTCTTAACAATGACATTTTCTACTGAACTAGTAGGCTGTATTTACTTGTAGATTCCCCCATATGAGAAATGCGTACAAAAATAACCGCATGTAACATACAAAGGTGAAAACATGAGTTTATCAAAGCGCTATCAATGGATGAAGCCCTGCAGAACGACTGTGCGGGTTACCCGAGATGTACGATTAATCAGAAAGGAGCTAAGCAGCTTGTGGTTGGTCAGTTACGTTGGTTGTTGCCGTATTCCGATGGCTGGCTTTCCAACCATTACCAAGTTGCCCTGCTAGGAGGACTGTTAGTTCCAAGAGTTCTGCCTTGGAGTCTCATGAAATTTGTGTGTGTGTTTGTGTGTGTGTTTTCCAGTCACTGCCTTAGGAAGTACCAACATACAGGCCAAGGAAGATAACCCACCGTTTGACTTGTTTGTAAGGAAGTCACGTGATGCTGAATCTGTCTCAATTTAAATGTGCTAAATTGAGAACTAAAATGTTACTTTCTTGGAGAACTACAGATAACACAGAACATGATCTTTGAAGGTATAGAAAGGCAGGCGGGTGGCTGGGCTCTCAACTTGCAGGGGCCAAATCACTTTCCAGTTGCTGAGTATTAGGCCTCCCACCAACCTCTACCCATTATTGAGCATCCCAACAATTTCACAATGCTGGGCTGCTTTTCCTAGTTTCTCTCATATGAGAAAAGCTTGCAATAGTTTGATAATAAATTGCCATTTCCCTAATGTAAGTGCATGCGTGAGAGAGAGAGAGAGAGAGAGAGAGAGAGAGAGAGAGAGAGAGAGAGAAGATGTATGCTTGTATGTTGTTCCCCACAAAAGGCACAGAAATGGTCCGTTCATTGTCTGCACAAATGTCTCCTGCAAGGGTCCCCACTGCCCAGTGGTCCTGAGAATGGGGCTCACAGACTTGGGAGATTTACTTACTTCATTAAAGTTGAAAAGCAAGAGATGCCAGTGGGAAATTCAAGTTGCAGCAACAGCATTTTGCAGTCAGTGCTAACTTGATTTTCTATGGCCAACTCTACCTTCTAATTAGAGCAAGGCATTAGGAGGGAGGTCACTGTGGTTGATACGCAGTGGGATAGATTCAAGGCTGGTGCATGCTGGGAGGGGGGCGCGGCTCTGTGCTATGGCCCTGGAGAAGGCTGGACTGGACTGTCTAGTAGGTGAACCTTGAAAGGTAGCCACACATTGCCACTTTGGCTTGAAGTGGTGACAAAGGTAGAACCTTGGCTCTCTCGGATGAGGGAGGCTTTGGCATGGGGTCTGGCCAGAGTAAGGCACTTGTGATTGGCAAGAGAGGAAGACAAGTTAGTGCCTGTGTTTTCCTGTGTACTTTGTATGATGGAGCCACTGCTGAGCTGTGTGGCGGAACTAGAAGTGGACGAGAGAATAAATGGCCTCTCAGTATCCTTACCCACTTTGCCATACTGCTCAAAACACCCAGCTCTTGGTTTTGGGGGGGGGGGCTTCTGTGACTGTTGGTGTCTCTTAGTCTCGGTCTCGGTCATTTGTGTATGACTGAGGGCATCTGAGAACAGTGGGGGAGGATCTGTAGACTAAGTGTCCCTGGGCTAGGGCCTGATCTAAGAGAATTAAAACATGAAGCAAGCCTCAGAGGAAAGAGCTGCAAGTGGCCAGGCGCCCTGCTGCCCAGCCATTGTCCTCCCAGTTGTCAGGGTGGCGCTGGCTCAGAGTGCTCAGTAAACATCTGCAGAGAGGCAGGAGGATGCTCAGGCCTCCTTGATATAGATATGAATAATTTGCATTGGTATGGATTTTAAGGTCAATTTTGTTATATGTATATGTATTTTTGAACTTGATTAAGGTATTGTGATTGTGTAGTTCATTTAAAAATGTAATGTATAATTAGGAAATATAGGTTGTTAATGGATAATCATCGCTAATACTTAAGCTTGTAGTCATGTTAGTTAGATTTTCTAGATATATAGAGAGATATTTTAGTTAGATAGGCATTCTTCATATCTTTCAAAGGCTGCAGAATATGGCATTTAAGATATTTTAATAACTTAGGGTTTTTCATGACAATGAGACACATTTGCTCCTGGCAGCACCAATCTA